GAAAGAAAAAGATAAAGAAAAGGAAAGGGAAAAAGAGAGAGACAGGGAAAAGGAACGTGAAAAAGAAAAGGAACGGGGTAAAAACAAAGATAAAGACCGGGATAAAGAACGGGAAAAGGACCGGGATAAGGATAAAGACAAGGAAAAGGACAGAGAGAGAGAGCGGGAAAAAGAACATGAAAAGGAGCGAGACAAAGAGAAGGAAAAGGAACAGGATAAAGAAAAGGAACGGGAAAAGGACAGATCCAAAGAGATAGATGAGAAAAGAAAGAAGGATAAAAAGTCCAGAACACCGCCCAGAAGTTACAATGCATCAAGAAGATCTCGAAGTTCCAGCAGGTTTGATATGCTTAAAATTTTTACCAAGGTTTTTACTGATGACAAATGAAAATAAGAATTTTAACTGAGGGGGACAAGATTTTCTTTACAAGTGGAATCGGTACAGTAATATCAAAACATTTTCCTTTTCAGAGTAAGCATTTCTCTAAGAGGGCTTGCCACAGGATTGAATCTGTGAGAAGGATGGATGGTATTGGGCAAAATTATTTGAAAAGTTTTACTTCTCTTTTGTGATCCATTATTTTAACGTGGTGGCAGCACTAGCAGATGGTGCTGCTGCTGATTTTCTTGGAGGGTGGGATGGCAGGGGCAAGTTTTTATTTTTTTAATTGGGGTGACATTGGTTTATAAAATAATAGAGGTTTCAAGAGTATGATTTTATAATGTAGTAGAGGCCTGCTGCATGAATTTGTGCACCAATGGGGTCCCCCTGGCCTGGCCTGCGGGATTGGGCTGAACCGGCTATCTGACATCCCTCAAGGAGCCCTGGATTGTGAGAGGGCGCAGGGCAGGCTGAGGGGTCCCACTGGTGCACAATCAAGGCCAGGAAGGGACGCAGGAGGTTGGCCAGCCGGGGCGGGACCACGGGAGGGCTCCAGGGCGTGTCCGGCCCCTCTCGCTCAGTCCCGATTGGCTGGATCGCAGCAGCAAGCTAAGCTACCGGTCCGAGCGTCTGCCTCTGGTGGTCAGTGCATGTCATAGTGACTGGTCGAGCAGTTGACTGTCTGCCCCCTGGTGGTCAGTGCACATCATAGCGAGCGGTTGAGTGGCCTTAGCAGATCATTAGCATATTACGCTTTGATTGGTTGAATGGATGATCGGACACTTAGCATTATTAGGCTTTTATTATATAGGATCACCTGAATATTGCATTGTGTGTTCACCACCCAAGTTCAAATCTCGTTTCACCACCATATATTTACCACCCTTTACCTTTGTATCACCCAGTCCCCTTTCCCTCTGGTAACCACCATACTGTTGTGTGTCTGAGTTTTGGTTTGTTCATTTTTTGCTTTCAGTTTTATATCCCACATATGAGTGAAATCATAGGTTCTTGACTTTTTCTGTCTGACTTATTTCGCTTATCATGATACTCTCAAGGTCAATCCATGTTGTCGCAAATGGCAGTATTGCATTTTATGGCTGAGTAGTATCCCATTGTATATTTGTACCACATCTTCTTTGTCCAGTCATCTAGCAAAGGACAGTTGGACATCACAGCACACCTATTAGGTTGGGTATTATCAACAAGATAAGTAATAACAAGTGTTAGAGAGGTTGTGGAGAAAAGGAACCCTCATTCACTGCTGGTGGGAGTGTAAACTGAAAGTTTCTCAAAAAATGGAGCATATACCCAGTAACTCTTCTGGATTTCTACCACCAAAATGTGAAAAGATTTATTCCCGAAGATATATGTACCCCTATGTTCATTGCAGCATTATTCACAGTAGCCAAGATATGGAAACAGTGGGAGGGCCTTTTTAAAATTTAAATATAGAAGAATTGACCTCTTAGACTTTTGTATTTCTTTGGAGTGGTGTGGTTAGTTTTATGTGAAATGATTTCTGAAATTGCAGTGTTAGTGCTTTTTCATCTAAGTTACTTTTTACTGCACTATTTTGTTGAACGTTTACATTTTTTGTTTTGTCATTTTTAAGATTTTGCTTTTTTCTTAGGACTGTTCCCTTAATCTATTAATAAGTGCTTTGCCACCAGGTGGAGTAGGTTGCCATAGTAACTGCAGCAAAATGAGGACCTTCATTGATTGAAGATTATGTAAACCTACATTTCATTATTCCGGATGATGCCGTGGCTATAAATAAATAGAAGTTCTTGTGTTAAGCTATATATTAAAATATATATC